CTTACTACTGAGCCGTAAGTAATCCATGAAGATACATCAGGTATAAAAATGTCTTCTGTCATTTATATCTTTATAAAAATAGAAACTGAAAACCACATGTGCAGGACAATCTTACTGTATTTATTAGAACAAGAAACTGCAGCATGAACAAATATATTGTGTGCAACACTTCATAATGCCATTTAGTTTAAATCATGTTTTAAAATGAAACCCACTAGTTAATTATCATCTGAATCAGTCATTTAAGTCAAAGGCACACACCTACTACTGATTCTTTTTCTTCTTATTTAATGGATGCAAATATATTTATATGCACACTGGCTTTTGGTTCAATTAATGGTATTAAGCTATCAATTTCCATTCAATTAACTAGTGGTTTTTTTGTCCAATATTACATGAAGAGCCTTTTATAAGATGAAGAGAAACATTTGTCACATCACATATGAGCTACTTGTATTTAATGAGTTGTAAAACATACATTTTTATCTTAAGAATGAGCTCTAATATTTCATATTTTGATACTATTTATGACTCAAAAACCTTATGTATAGTGATACTGCCAAACAAGTTTTAAACGAAAGGAAGAGGGTAGAGGACAAAGTAAAACTTGCCACAATCCTGTTTAAAGTTAAGCTGTGAGATTTGAGTGCTGAGATATCTGAATGCATTCTTAATTATGGAAAGTAAACTAAGGGGTAATATGCTTGGTTATTGAAAAAGAGGAGGAACCTCAGTGAGATGGGTTGACACAGTGGATGCATCAATGGGCTCAAACAGCAACAGTCGTGAGGATGCTGCTGGCTGGAAAATAGGGTGTTTTGCTCTAGTCTACTGTATATAAAACCCCTATGTGTTGAAAACAATTCGATGGCCCCTGGCAACAATAACAATATCTGAATAATTAGCTAATTACTTGAAACTGTTATAGACCTGAAAATGAAAATAATTTCATTTTTTTAAATTCAAAGAGACTTGAAAATTCTTATTTTCTAAGAAATCTTAATGGAGCTTTTTGAGGTATCTGTCAGTATATTTGAAGACTCTATATGGGAAGTGAATAAACTCCAGGATTTCTGTTTGGTTAATTCATTGTTTCCCTTGGAAGTAGGCATTGCGTTTTCCTTGACAAAAGCAATCTGTCTAAAGGCATCCAGGGTTGTCTTTAGGGTGCTTATCTTGACTTTGTGGAATTGACTTTGTAGAATCTTTACCCTTCATTTCCATGCCAACTAACTTCCGAAGAGTAGCCAACTACTTTTTTTTCTTTCTTTCTTTTTAAATTTTTTTTTTCCCAACTACTTTTGAGTGTGCCTCAGCTCTTTAAATAATAATCATGCTTTATCATTGTGTTGACTAATCTATTTTAAGTTGTTGTCTGCTAGTAATAGTAATGTAATTGGACTTTTTCATATTCAAGTAGATTTTTAGTTTGTAATCTACGAAAGAAGAAAAATAAATCATGTGTAATTCTTTTTCTTCCTTTTTTTAAGTTTGCTTTATTACATTCTAGTTGCTTTTTAGGAGTCCTTGGGTGGTACAAACAGTTAGGTGCTTGGCTTCTAACCAAAAGGTTCACAGTTTGAATTCACCCAGAGATGCCTCAGAACTCTGGCAGTCTACTCAGCAGCACCTGGTGGTTAATTATGTCTTAATATTTGCATTTGCTTTACCAATTTGGTTTGTTGCAACTGTATGTAGACTAAGGAGGGGATTAAAATAGTTTTGTGACTGAAAAATTAATATAGATTGTTAACCTAAAGATAGACTCGTGTATGAAACTGTGAGATTAGCACTGGAATATTGACTATAAGAATTGGAGGTTCAAACCCACCAGCTGCTCTTTGGAAATCCTATAGAGGTCACTATGACTCGGAACTGACTTGAAGGTTCTTAACAAGAAGAAGAAGCAATATTAGGTGATAGTAATAGAATACATTTCAATAGGATGCAATTTTAGTTATCTTTTAGTCCAATACCCATAGTTCTGACTTGCTGAGGATAACTTCATGGAAGGAAACTAGTACAGTCTTTTACAAACAGAGATTCCATGTTACAATAAGACATAATAGTAGATAACCTTGGTGATGGACCTTAGCAATCACTTCACTGCTCTAGATGTCAATTTTTTCATGTATGAAGGCAGAAATTTCCTTCTCAGAATCTCTGTTACATAAATAATTTAGAAACTGAGCAAATATTCATCAAAATTGTAGGGAGCATCTTCACCATTCTATAATAAGAGTGTAGCTACTTGGGTCATTCAGAGTATGAAATCTTATGCATTTATTAAAAACTATGTTGATAAAAAATTTTACTGACATGATATCCATAATGTTGTTTTAAGTGGATATATAAAAACTGTATCTACGGTATTACATGATCTTAGATTATGATTATGGTTAATTTGTTTGAAATCTTTGTAGTTCTCCACATTTTAAAAAAGTTTTTTTTTATGAGTTTTCATTTCCTTTATAGTCAGAAAAGTACAATTATTTTTTAAAAGTAGGATGAAGCTGATTGAAAGTAAATGATTTCTAACTTTCCTTCTGGCTATAAATT